TCAAAGAAATGCAGTGCACTAAATTTCATTTAAAATATCCCAAAAATTGTGGCTTGTAGGTTAAACACCAGCAAATTAGGCGGATAGATGGGCAGACATGATAAGATACCGAAGGTGATGTAGGGTATAAACATTTGATTACACTATAGACATACGTATACACTTTATAAAGTCTCGCACAAAATTATTTTTGCTTTTGTTTCGTTCATTCAATCTATTCGCCGTTTCATTATTATAGACTAATAATGCACGTTTAATGTCATAATTCACAATCGTTCATAATAACATACTTTTAGTTGAAATTATTATAAAAGCTCACGAAGAAGAAGAAAATATTTGCAAATCATTCCTTGAAGCAGTAACTAAAATAGAGAAACACACAAACGCGCGTACCCATTTAAACGTATAGACGAATAACAGTTTATTGTGATTTGTTATTGTAGCTGCTTTGAAAACCACAGAGACAGAAATGAATAGGGAGAGAGCATAAATTAATTCAATTTCCTTTTTTTACGCGTGTATATTCTGAACAAAATTTGTATGATGTCTTTATTTTCCGCTTGCTTGTATTCATGTTTGCATGTGTTCATTAATGAGTTTTCGTATATGCAAAACTTTCTTGGTTTAAAGTAAAATCAAATCGCTTTCTTTACTAGACAATTAATGAAACGACATCTGCCTTCGATTCTTTGGGATCTTTGCTGTAAATACGCCAAAAAGTGAGTAGAGGAAACAGTTGTACTAAAAGCAGGTGAAAGCACTATGATTTGACAAGGTCGACCCTTAAGTACCCGACAGCAGTTCGTTTAATATAATTTTTTATTTATTTTCGTCGTAAGATGTATAAAAATTACTTTTTGTTGCCTTCTAACGAGGCTTCTTCAGAATCTTCCATGAGAAATCTTATGTGCGGCAGAGTTGAAACCTGGTCCAAATTCAGGCATTTAAATCTTTTATCAAATTACTGCAGACAACAGATAAAGTTTTTATCATAAAATATTGAAAGTTAAGCTTTTTTTTCATACAAAAGCTTATTCTTCCTAACCAAGGTTATACAGGATATTGAACCATCCGAATTAAATTTTTCGCATCAATTTAGTAAATCGAGAGTGATTTTTATTGAGAACGTTTAAAAATTGCAAGTTTTGCTCATAGAATGGCGGTTTTAAAATAAGACGCTACACGGAGAATGGTCGTAAAAATGGTCTCATTCAGTCTATTTTCAATAAGGTTCGTCCTCGGGGCAAAGCCCCTTGGTTTATCAAATTTCGTCGAAATATCTCAGAACTTGCCACATAAAAGAACTTTAAACATAAAGTTACATTGAAAGACATTACACGAATAGCATGTGTTCAGGACAACAAGTTATTCTAATAGCGTCGTGGATATTTTATTTCTTTTAGGCAATTGTCACTGCGCCTTTCTAACTTTTTTCGACTAGTTGTTCTTCTCAAATAACAAATTCTTCCATTAACCAGTTAACTGTCATTCACGACAATATTCGTCACGCATCATAAGTAGCGACCGTTCGCTATTTAAATCACAATTTTAATGGAAAATGAAATCTATTGATTAATTCTAAAATATTTGGAATACTTGGAAGCCGAGCGAAAGTAAATCGGGCAAGTTTTAATATATATATATATATAATTAACTAAAATAAGTAAAAAGATTATACTCGGAAACGGTGATACCGTTAAATATCCTACACCACTTGCCTTAGTACAGGTCGTATAACCACATTTCAAAATAAATACTTTTTTTGGAAGTGGTCGTAAGAGTAAGTTAATATGTTAATAAGTTCAATATTATTGCCCGATATACTTTGTGACTGTGCGGCATATTCGTCATCGCTTAATTTTTATAATAGAGTTAAATAGTTAAAGGAGTCGACTGCGTTCGATTGGAGCTAGATGATGTGCCACCGGCTTTCATTGTTTAAACTTTTCTTAGTCTGTCATTCGTAACGAGATCGTTAATAATTAGTAGAAGAGCAAAACTAAAAAAGATATTGAAGGTGGTGGACCGGTTTTCGTTCTCAGAAACTGAGCAAGTCTACAAAGCCTCGTATTTATCAAACCAAGCCGGAAAACATAAATATCATCTTCGTTTGCTATTAACCGGAGAGCCGGCGAAAGAGTTGATTTATTAGGAAAAGAGATTTCTCTTTCTTTCTTTCTTTATCTCTCTTAAACGGCGGCAAAAACTTTTTTAATTACCTAATGGCATAAAATAAATATTGAAAATATTTTTAAACAAAATTAGTGTAATACTTTAAGAAAGGAAACAAAAATTTTGTAATAAATAGGGAACATCTGTGAAAAAACTTAATGTTTTGCTAACGTTATGCTCTTTTTATGCATTTACCATCTATCTGCTTTTGAATTGCAAAAAAAAGGAAAAAAAATTAAATAAGTAAATAAATAAAAGAAAATGTTGAACGCATGAAAGCAAGAAATGTCGCGAAAACACAAGAATCGAGAAAAGAGAAGAAGAAATAAGTAAGAAAGTTATATTCGTTCGTAGCCGAATCTCTTATACCCATCACCCTTATCCTAAGAAAGACGAAAAATTAAAAGAATTAAATTCTCATACTCCTTAGAAGAACTACATTTTCATGCTGCATAGTGCGCGAGGCTGATTTTTTCTATTTCCAAAATAAAAGGGTTTGTCGCATTAGCGTGTGGGCGTTGTACCCGTGTCCTAGGAAAGTTTAAGTGGCTGCTAAATTCTTTTACAAATTCGTAGTCAATATCTTCATTTTCACTAACAGGAGAAAGTTTACCACAGATACTACGCAGTTGCGCAGACAGAATTTATATACTTTGCGGTGACTTTGAAACTTGCGTCAGTGCCGTATAAAGGTATGGAAAAAGGCGCGTTCTTCGATGGATTTGGGCTAATTTCAATACCAACCTGCGTGCAATGTTTTTGCCGAATTTGATGTCCATAGCTTGATTTTTACGGCAACTAGAATTTGTAGAACAGACATTGCACAGACATACAAACAAGCATGCTTACTTAGATCTAGATTTTGATACTGATTAAGAATATATATACTTTGTGTGGTCTCTGATGCTTTCTTCTGGGCGTTGCAAACGTTTTGGCGAAATGAATATACCCCTCATCGTTTGGTGATGAGTATAAAAATGAACATAAAAGACTAAGATTAAAAAAAAAGAAAATCAAACTCTTAAAATAAAATGATCTAAAAATAAATTACTAAGCACTTCCACACAATGATGCACATCCACGAACAAAAAAGTATGTGCATAATGTTCATAATGATGATGATGAATACATAAGGATGAATCGTGAAATTTTCTTTTCTTTTTTTGTATTATTCTTTATTGGTTTTTAACGCAAATATGTTAAGGAATGCGTTCCTTTTATTCATTTTTTAATTTCAAATTAAATAATCTTTTCTAAATACCATTGAAAATGTTTTTTTCCTTTCATCATTAATTAAAGAAAAGAAAGTCGGTCTTTAAAAATTATATTTAACTATGATATAACGAAACAACTAACTTTACAAGTCACACGGCAGTGGGAAGAAAAAATCAATTTAATTTTGTGACTTTTGGTAGCTGCGTGGTCTAATTACCCATTTTTTAAGCATCTATCGGGCGAGGCGCATAGAAATTTGCCTGGTTATACATATAACATAGTATGATACGCAGCAGCTTAAAATGAATATTTAACATTAGGACTAACGGGTGGGTCAATTCGACCCTCTTCAAGTTTTAACTTTCGAAAAAATGATTATAAAGCTAACATATATCGTTAGTGGATCCTAGAATATTCAGTTGTAATCTGCCTACCAAGCTATGAATATTGTGCAGATGTTATTAAGTCCGTCCAATGGCAATTTGTAGCGTTTGCGCAGCGCTGCTTGTCTTGAGATCTCTTCCTGGCGCTCTTCCCATATGAGCATAAGTTAAGCGTCATTGATTCATCGTCGATCCGTAGAAGAAGGGAAATGTTTCGCATTATAGTTATGACTAAATTAATGAAGGGTGATATATTTGACCAAGGATTCTTGGATGGCGTTTCTTCTACTATTCCGTCAAGGGTGCTTCCCTTGGGACTCGCGCACTGCCGTACTCATTGTCTTCTGTGTAATCCGTTTCAGTTCCTACAATGAAATAAAAACTATAACATTGTGTCGATAGTCCGGATTTTAAGAACCAACAATTTGTATGAAAAACGAAATCCAACAATTATATCAAAATCGAAATATAAAATGTACCCAACATTGATGATTGATATGAAAAACGAAAATCCAAAATTGTATAAAAATCCAAAAAATATGTCTAACATTTTGTATGAAACGATGTAAGCTTGTCTGCCCCGTCTGTTGGATTGATATATATATATATATGCATTGAGTCGTGTACCACTATAGCATTTTTATTGGTTTTTGGTTTTGGTGTACCACTATATCGGTTCTATTGGTTTTTATTATTATTATTCCTTTCATTGCTATTACTATTATTATTGTAATTCATCTAGACAAAGTACGAAATGTTGGATTAAAGGAAAAAAGATATTGAACAGGATTTTTCATGAGGAAAGAGCTAAAATGGTTATTCTACACATATATTGCAGATACGATTACAATGTTCATAGGACTAAAAATCATATCGAAACTTCTTTCTTAATAAACAATTCGCGCTGGAGCTATTAACGAGACAAAGCTTTCGAAAATCCTTGATCTACCACATACCTAACTAAATGTCATGGAACGATTCGCACATTAATCTTCTTCTTTATGTTCAAGCAATCGTAATGACGCGCACACTCACATATGTGACTGTTCTCAAAATAAATATCGTCTGTTTCAGTTGTCTGTTAGTTAAAATGCCGTAAAATTTTCATAATTTGGCAAAAAATTTTGCATTTCGCTTATTTAAGCAAACGCACGGTCTTTATATAATCGATTTAACTCTTTTTTTCGCAAAATATTTATGTGGACAATCTGGTTATGCAGATTTACTTACATGAAATGATTCGTTTGAAATAACTTTCTCGAATTCTTTAGTTTTTCTTTAAAATATTTATTTGAAATGAAAAGCATTAAGATTTTGTGAGTTTCACGTTGGTTTCAATCGAACCACTTTTGGTTCGTCTCATTTATTAGATTGTTTTCTGTTTTAAGCTCTGAAACTGAAGACACGCGCACAAACACAAACACCTTAATATATATAAGACATTAAAGCTGACTTAAAACGAACGCACGTCACGTAACCTGGTGGATGTGTACTGTACATCGAAGAAAAATTGAAAATAAATTTGAAAAAGAGACAAAAAAAAATAATTAAAAAAGCACTATACGTAACACAAGCACCAGAATCGTGTATTACGCTCGATTTATGAATTTTTTTTTTCTTCTCACGAGATTCTCTTATTTCTGATTCCAATTTTATATATATTTTCAGTTTCTTGCGCATTTACTTTTTTTATTTTTATTTTTTATTTATTGCACGAGATCTTCTTAAATCGGGCAGTTTCAGCTGTTTTGGTAACGAATTGTGATAAAATTAAATATTAAGGAACTTTTTCTTTTTTAACATTAAAGCAAAGAAAAAAAAACAAACAGAAAGCAAGAAGAACAATGAAAGGAACTAAAACGTCTATCCGCGAGCGATTTTCAACTGAAAATGACTTTAGTGCATTTTTCTATGGTATGAGCTCTTTAAGCTGTATGGGGAAATTTATTTTTATTCATTATTTTAATTTATTTATATTTTCATTTGATTCATCTGCGAGTTTTCCTTTTCTTTTTGTTTTTGTTTTGCTTTTCCGCTTTTTCCTCCTTTTTCTTTGTAGTTGACTTTGCTGCATTTCTGACTGGCAGACCAGTTCTTGTATATGCGTTCAATATTATTTGCATATTGCATTGATATTCTTTGTCAGGCTATCTATGAGAAATATTTCTTCTTTTCATGGTACGTTTTAATTATTTCTTTTATGATGGATATATATACATATATATAGGTGAGCGCATGAATTTCAATGCATACTGTTTAGTAAATATTTATAATATAAAAAAAAATTTATTAGTTACATTTTATTGTTGTAATCTTTATGCCAACATAAACACATCTCAAGAAATTAAAATTGTTTCATTATTCTCTTCACAAAATTACATATTTACATTTATGTATATGTAATATATTTACAAGTGTTTTTATTCACATCATTATATATATATATATATATAAATATATTATAGACATATACATCTAAAAAGCAACGATATGCGTCAATGAGTTTTATAGGAATAAAGAATAAATACCCTTCGAAGAGGTCTACATTTAAGAGACCTTTACAGTGGAACCTTTGTTGATTGCCTTGAATTTCCATTAATGCAAAAGTGATCTGTTATTGTTACCATAGAAAAAGTTACTTTTTAATAGAACCTTTGCAAGCGGAGTAGTCCGAAAAATAAGCCGCTGTTATCTAAGTTTAATAAGCTACATTTTTATTTTATTATTATTATTATTATCATTATTAATTTCGCAAGAGAAATAAATTCTAAAACTAAACTCTCAAAGCACTAGCATCTAAAAGGCTATCGGCTTTTATTAAAAACTCTACTGCACTTCAGATTCGAATCAACGACCATTGAGATTCCTTGCCTCTGGCCACTCAGGCGGATACATTTTTAATTTAAGTCGCTTTTCTGAGCCAACTTCCATCCCAAGAAGCACCAAATTAGACTTTTTTATCATGTCAAAGCTAATTTTTTGTATTTTATTTGTAGGTGAAGACCTTCAGGCAATAGATCTGTTCCACACAAATTTTCTACGTTCAAGGAATTTGCCAAATATTATACTTCACCAATTTTTTCAAAAAACAATAAAAATCGCAACTTGTATTCATGTGTTATATAAGACTCAATCTTCCCCCATCCTTTTTCAAGAGTTCATACTTGGACTAAAACTAGTTAGAGAGTATACCAAATATCATTAAACTACTTTGAAAAAAGCGTTCAAGACAGAAATGATATGGACAGAAGAGTAAAAGGACAGACGGACCTGAACAGATTCAGAAAATTATCGATCTATCTCAAGTCTTTTTAGATGCTAAATACACTTGCGCTTAACTTAAGCTTACCGCCGACAGTGCAAGATATAACAATTTAAACGAAAACTTCTACTTCAAATCTGCGTTTCTTTAGACCGTCATATATCGTCTAAAATAAGAAGCATTTAAAAAAGTCCTACTGTTGTTAGTTTGTATCTTCCTGGTAGTGATGAATATCCTGTAAGCATTAAAGTGATGGCGACCTCTCAAGGGCAAGTTCAATCGTATATCTGGGCGTGAAGAGCGTGACAGCGGATTTTGAAGAAAAACATTATGCTGCCACAGTTGGATCCTACTTTGCCCACGACACCATAATCCTTGAGAAATAAACTATTTTTATACTCATCAGCGCAGGATAAGGCATATATTCATTTTGCCAAATGTACAAGGAAACCTCAGAGATTCCACAGAATATATGCAGTCTTGATCAGCATCGAATTTTAAACCGCTTAAAGCATGTCCGTCTTCCTGTCTGTCTGCGGTAAATATTCTCCTGCCAGCAACACCCAGAAGCAAGCTTGAGAAACCAAACAAAGTCTCCATATTACTGACCAATGCTGAGCGGTGCTGGATATAAAAACATCGGTCTTCTTAGTTGTTTCATATTATTTTAGAAGTGCCCTTACTTTATGCAAAATAATGAGATTCAAAGTCTTTAGCTTTTTTGACTTTTTTATTGATCCCTTATCGATTTATTGGAGGATCTGAATGAAAATACAGATATAGGTTCTCACACCACTGGAAGCGAGTTTCAGTTAAACTTTTTCGAATTTCTGACAAATAGAAAATACAAATACAAGTAGAAAAGACAAATTTTTACATCCTCATCGTCTTTTCTTTCTTCGGATAAAGTAATCTTCAGATGCTTAAAACTAAGCAAATGATTTTCTTAACCAATATTGCTTTTAAAATGTCTATATATGAAGACATACATAAGTAACCGCCTATTTACATACGATATCTTTTTTGATCAAATTTTATATAACCCTTTTTTATCTTTTTTTAGAAAACAATGAATTGTTTGAATAGTTTGTTCATGTAACCGCAAAATAAGAACTATTATTGCTAAATTATGAAAAAAATATGAAACCGCAAACTCTGATAATTCAACAGAAGTAATTCAAAAAAAGTACTACTGACACTGATTTAACTAATACCGCAATTAAAATAGAACCAATTGAGTAAAGAAAAAATATTTCATTTTTGCATAACAAAAAGTTTGCAATCGGCGTCAAGTCTAAGCTATCTACCTACCGATACTTATAAAAAAAATATGATTTCAATTTTTTTTCATTTCTATCTCCTGACCTGAGTTATCAAGAAGAGCGTTTCATTTTCTCTCAATGCATAGGAACTGTGAGTTGACTAAAAAGCAATTAAATAAGATCTAGGCTTCATCCGCGATTATTGAAAAGCCGTACATATATATTTTCGTAGAGAGAAGGGAGTACACATATATGTGTATAGCTGACGATGTGCTACCATACCGTACAGTTGAAACCATATGCGATAGATTCTACGTCTGATTCGATACACAATTAATATATGAAATGAATTGGGCCCTCAAATACCACACATAAACATTCTCGGCACACGTCGATTTGCTTGTTTCCTTTATTTTTCCAATTTCTTTCAAGACATCGACGATCCGCGTAAGAAGGGCGACTCTTGCATGTGTTAACGCGCAAATGTAAAATATTTGCTTAAGACAATTTCCAGATGACATAAAGAGAATACATGGATTCAATTCTTCAAGTAGAACGTAGACAAAGAAAGAAAGCAAGGAAAAAGTTGAATGCGCTAAACCAAGTCATATATGATGATCTATGGTTTCATGATGCCTACATTTAGCAAGAACAATTAAAAACCATTAAATACCCTACATCACTCTACAATTAATTATTCATATAATAACATTTCAAACTTAGGCATAATACATGAAATAGTCGAAAAAATGATCCATGAACCATTATCAACAGCGTCCGTCCATAGGGAAAAACATGTCTCTATACCAAATACCATCAAAATATCTGAAAATTGCAGTACGTAGATGGAATACGAGAAAACTAGACAGACAGATGGGCAGACAAGCTTAAATCGATTCAAGATTCTATATAAAAGGGAAGTCTATCTCAAGTCCTTCTGGTTGTTCCGTTCGCAACGCATAAGCTTAATGTAGTTTTATGCCACAAGCAGTGTAGAGCATAACCACATAAACAAAAAACGGCATTACTTTGTGACTGGTCACTAGTCGCAGCAAACAGCAATATGTTCTTTTTTCATAGTTTTTGAAATTTTTTTATCAAATTTCATACACTGGACTGGAGCAATAGTCACAAGAGTGTCAATTTTGATATAAGACAAGGTTGCTAAATCGCGAAGACCGCAAGTAGAAAGAACGCGTTGTGACTTGTGAGGTCCTTGTGGTCTTGGTCAGAATGCAGCTAAACAAAATCCGGAATATTAATTTTTTTTTTGTTTTTATTGTTAAATAAAGAAACGCCGGAAAGGAGTTTTGAATAAGGACAAACGCAATTGATTGAAGAAACGCTTTTATTGTAGCGGAGTCATCAATTGAAGTGATTTGCATTGTTCTTGCAGAATAACGAATTTAACTTAAATTAATTGAAAATATAAAAAAAGAGGGACAATATTGAAAATTAGTGGCCTAATTGTTCTAAAAAAGCAGCCGTGCCAACGATGTAACTGTTATCCAAACTCTTTACTAGTCTAAGTTCCGCAGAAAAACTGTAAAAATTATCGCAAATTGCTTATCATAAATTCGAACAAGAAAAATAAAATGTAAACAACACTTGCGGATAGAGTGTGCGATACTTTTACAGCCCGTCTGCTTCTAACACCACACGTTATTCCTAACCGTAAGGATGAGAACCTTGATTAAGACAAAAATGGATTCTAGAAGTTCTTCTAGCGCCATTAGATATGCCTACAAACAGCTTTCCTAAGTCATATTATATATGTAAGTTATACAAATTTAATGCCAATGAGTGTTCTGATTGTGCCCGCCAAAACCACATTGGAGATAGAACTTTCTTTTTTGAAACAATGCACGTTTTTAAAAAGCCATATAAACTGAGTTTCTACTCAATGAAACGAGCTCGTTCACGCTAAGAGCTACTATTCGCTTCATATATTCTTAGAAGATGTACCCTCCTTCCCATAATTTTATTGGATTGACGCGCACATTGTCAAGACCAGAATAACATAACGTGACATAAAATTTAGTAGTCGAATCGAAGCGTTGGCTTTGAATAGCATCATAAGATTGATAACGCATTCATAAAAGCCTGAAGGAGAAGTAAACAAGAACCTCCGCGTCCTTTGTTTAGTCATCTGCCAACGTGGGCAGACGTGTGGAACTAAAAGTAGTTAAAATAGTTAAGTCGTGTAAAAAGCCGGATAAATCGGTAAAGCTATTTCCAGAAATCGTATCTTCAAAAAGGACAAGTCCATGTCAGAATCCGCAAAGAAAAGGACTTTCATTGAGTTAATCATGTCAGTTAATCAGCGAACAAGATTTTTTTTAAC